ACCCCAGGGAGACCCTGCTCCTGCTCCACCCAGTCCCAGGCTAGGCTGTGGCTTCCACTGCCAGCCTAACCAACAACTCTTCATCTCTGGCCCGTGGTTTCTCTGAGATCCCACTCATTCAGGCACCCACCACCAGCCCTGCTTGCGGGGGTCAAGCTGACTTCTCAGGCGTATGTGGCTAAAACACAAATCTCTCGTGTCTCCCTTTTAAAAGAAACCTTACTGTCAAAACCCCTTCATCCAAAGATTGGGTGCTATTTGCCACCCAGTTGCTAAGGGTGAATTTGAAGGCATCTTCTCTGCCTTCACGCTTAGTCTATCAGTGCTAGAGGATTCCCAGGGCCAGTTCCTACCATGTTGCTTGTGTGCGGCCTGCCCTGATACCTTTCATTTTTAAGGTTAGTGTTTTGGTCACTGTTCACTTGCTGTGAGGAGACACCACGGCCAAGGCAGTGTTTAAAAGAAAGTGTTTTAATGGGGACCTGCTTACAGTTTCAGAGGGTGAGTCCATGTGAAGACGGAGGTTTCTGTCCTGCCTGGTCCCACAGCCACTTTGCCCCAAATAAACACACAAAGACTTATATTAAGTATAAAATGTTTGGCAGATGGCTCAGGCTTCTTATTGGCTAGCTCTGTCTTAATTAGTAACCCATTTCTATTAATCTATGTATTGCCATGAGGCTATGGCTTACCCATATTCTGGCATATTATTCCTTTGGCAGCGTGGCGTCTCTCTCTCTGCCTTCCTCTCTCCCCAGCCGTCTCCTGGTCTGGTAGCCCCACCTATGCTTTCTGCCTGGCTACTGGCCAATCAGTGTTTTACTCATCAACCAATAAGAGAAAGACATATACAGAAGGACACCCCCATCAGCCATGACCATCATGATGGGAACATGGCAGTAACTGAGATACACAAGGTGCAAGTCCAGAGAGAGAGCATGAGACAGCCTGGCGTGGGCTTGAGAAACCTCAAAGGCCACCCTCAGAGACATATTGCCCAAACAGTTCCACCAACTAGGGACCAAGAATTCAGACCTATGCGCCTGTGAGGGCCATTCTCATTCAGACCACCAGTTACCACGCCGCCCATCCTCACGCTGCTTGCTTTCCGCCCTGTTCTCCGGAGCTGGCGTTAGAGGCGGCTGTGAGCCGCTGGACATGGTTACTGGGAAAGCCAGCTGAATGCTCTGCAGTTGGAGAGCAGCAAGTACTCTGAACTGAACTGGGCCATCTCCAGCCTCTTTTTGTTGTTGTTGTTTATTTGCTTTTCAAAACAGGGTTTCTCTGTGCAGCCCTGACTATCCTGGCACTCGCTCTGGAGACCAGGCTACCCTCGAACTCACGGAGATCCGGCTGCCTCTGCCTCCCGAGTGCTGGGGTCATAGGCGTGCCGCCATTCCTTGCTTTGTTATCTCTCTTCTCCACCAGATGGGTCCACTGTGAAGCCGGCACACAGCACAGCATAGGCACTAGGGTTTGAAACCAGGCTAGTCAGTATTTGCCTGCCGCCCTGCAGTCTGCTCCCCAGAGACCAGACAGGCAGCCCCAGGCCCCAGGCTTCACCTGACATATTTTCGTTTTCTCCACAGGTCCTTCCCGAACATCCAGCAGAAATACGGCCCAGATGTCACAGGTGCCCTCTTCATCCTGAAGCAGGGAGGCGCAGTGAAGTATGACCGCTGTTGTGAGGGGGTGTGGGGGGGGGCAGCTCTGCTGTCTTGACAGGAGTCCAGCACCCCTGTAAACATCAGGCATGGTGGAGAACACCTTGACCCCAGTGCCAAGGGGGTAAAGACAGGTCGATCCCTGGGGCGCTCTGGCTGGCCGGCCAGCCTGACTAACAAGCTCTGGGTAAGCGATACTGTCTCAAAACGTGGAAAAGCAACTGGTGGTGATCTGGGCATCAACTACTGGCTTACATGCATGCACACAGACATACAAATACACAGACAGGCATACAGATACACACAGACATATAGATACACACACAGACATACAGATACACACAGACCTACAGATACACACACAGACATACAAATACACAGACAGACATACAGATACACACAAACATACAGATACACACACAGACATACAGATACACACA